TAAATTTGAAACTTATATTTTTGTTGGAAACTTTGAAAAAATGTATAAAGTTCCTATAAATCTGTTTTAAATGTTTAGTAAGTATTATTTTTAATTGATTAAAAATTAAAATAATATTAAAATAAGAAAACGCATTTTTACGCATATGTCTCGTCTAGTTCTAGACTTGGCCTCCACGTATCGTCATGCATTACGCTTTTTAGAACACTGGCTACGAGTACAAGAAATTCAACGGGAAAATTTGCTTTGCATTTTCATGTTGAAGTTTACTGTACATGCAGACTTTTTGTAAGAGCCATGCTACACGAACAGGGAATTTTGACAGGATTAAAAAATAGATACACTTGTTAAACATTGGTTGGACAATTTAAAAAAAAATGAAAACACATGCAATCAATGGCTGCCAAGTTAGTCTGTCACTGAAACCCTGTTTTTTGCCCTGTTTGAGCGGAATTATCCTTTTTGTAAACACATACACTTGACATGTCCCAAAATATTGCCAAAACTGTCACATCAAAAAGCCCCTATTAGTACCCACTTTTCTGTGTCCTTGGTAATTATTGTCTTTAATGGAAATGACGAAGATGCCCCAGAGGTGTCCACTTTCCTTCGGTGCACGCCACTTTTTTGGGATGGAACTCAAGGGCACGTTTGGGCGATTAAGAACTGGATTGGGCGTTAGTGAGTATTCTTCAACTCTATAAAATTACTCGGAAAAGTATTTCTTATAATTTTGTGCCTGATCTTGATATATAAGATAAATAGCCTGAGACATTAATCTTTCCATTTTTTCTCCAAGCAAAAGAAATGGCCTCAAATAATAATTTTACACGTTCATGTAGCTTACAAAACTGAGGCCCTTAGAGGACAGCCAAAAGAAAACCAATAAAAAAAAACTATTTCATCACTCAACTGGAGTTACAGGAAGACCAAAATCAGGTAGTAAAATAGGTGCTACGAAGTACAACCACCCGGTGAACTTTCCCATATTTCCTTCAGCGGATACGTATATTCCATGGAATATGAACCTTTCCGAATGTTGTCCCCCTTTCCTCCTGATACAAATCAAAACTGATCCTTTGATGTCTTATCTGAGTGCGTTCACGAAAGTCATCAATGAATCCACATCTCTCTTCTCGGAGGGATATTTTACTGGCCTTGAAGCATGTTTTGGGAAGAAAAGTATTGTAGGAAAGCTCCCCAACTGTAATTCTTGCTGAGCAAATGCCTTCTCCTCCCCATCTGCCCTGAACTTTCCCACCTTAACACCAGACCCTGCAAACTTCTCTGCCAATTGCACATATGACCCTTCCATTGCCTGTTAGGATAAGAAAAAAAGGATTTCAGACTGAAACTCATGTTCATAAACAGCAGTACAATTTGCGTCAAGATAAATATTTACCTGGCAAAAGCGGCACCAAGGTGCGTAAAGCACAACAAGCCAAGCCTCCTTCCTATTTTCTAGTTTCAGTAAGTTCTGGATTCCCGGCCTACTCAAGTCAACAACATCATGCGTGCTGAAAAGATCAGCATGAGTGGCGATTCCATTTGCGTGAACTGCTCCATTGGCATTCCCATTTAAATTTTCTTCCTTGATGTTGCCTTTGTGCAGGCCACACTCCTTGGCCTTGGCATCCTCCCACCACCACCGTCCTTCTCTCTCGTGTTGCCCGGGGAGGACGGGTCTTGTGCATGGCTCACATCCAATAGATATGTACCCTTGAACGTGCAATGAGTTCACAGGCACGTTCATAGCCCGGAGGAAATTCCAGACATCATCACCCTTCACATTTGCCAATGGGTTCCACTTCACCAAGCTGCCAATCCCACCATCTAGCCCCTCGAAGACAGGGTCAACCTGAACAACTGGAATTTCTGAGCGAGTACCAGGAGACTGATCCTTCCGCTGCCCGGTTACCCAGGCACGAAGCCCCTTAAGGGCCCTCCTCAGAGGCCTAACCTTCCTGACACGGCAGCACTCCTGGTGTCCATCTTCGTAAAAGGAGAAAAGTCCCTTGCTCCTAACCAAAGCCTGGACTTCAACAGCATCAGGAAACATGTATTCAAGGCGAATCCCATAGTGCTTCTCGACTTCGTCAAAGAATTTGTACGTCTCAGGGTTCAACCTCCCGGTATCCAAGGTAAAAACTCTAAATGATCTTCCAGTTAAACGTGCATATTCTATCAAGGCAACATCTTCGGCACCACTGCAATAATTATTTTTCTCAGCAAGTAAATCCTGATTCAGCACGTTTTACCTTTTAAGTACTTATTCAGATAATATAAGCAAAGTTCCCCATAGTACCAGACGGCTAATATTTTCAAATGCCTCAATTTCCATATACAGATTTTCATCAAAATAAAAAGCTTCCATATACTGAATCCTCAATTAGTTAAAGATCCATACATGCAAGTACGCAACCAGTAAATTCACAGATGCATCCATCCAAAAAAAAAAAAAAAAACTAAATTATTTTTGACAATCTATTAGCAAAGTCGAATGCCATTATAAAAATTTCTACAGATTCATCAATTTGAAGAGTTAAATCACGATTTTCAGAATTACCTAAAAGCAATTGCAATATCATTTCCGAATTTCTCAAGGGCTTTGTCCATAATCTCAAGAGGAGAAGCATTTTGAAGATCCTTGGCCATTTTTTCGTAATCCTCTACCTCGACCTTTTCAAACACCTCTGCTAAATTCCACAACAAAATTAAGGGCAACCCGTCATTTCAAATTATCCAAAAACCACAACTTGTGTCTTAAAAAGAAAAATTTCGCACCAGGAGCAACGATGGTTGCTGCTGAAGGGACAATTGAATCGTTCCTCTTTGGCTCGGCGTTCAACGGCTTAACAGAAGAACACCGCCTGGAAAAATGCACCGCCGTTGATGGGAGATTAAGCTTGTCCAAAGGCTGAAATGAACCAAATTGCGCAGCTGCAGAAAGAAATTACATTCACAAAAATCAGAAACAAGAAAAATCCAGAAAATTAATTCACGAAAACAATCCGACAAAGCTGAAAGCAAAAGGAAAAATGACATATTTTATAAAACAAAATGTTACCTTTGGATAGATCAAAAGAATGAGAGCCATGAACTACAGATGAAGAAGTGAAAGTCAAAACCATTATATATAAATCTTTCCTTTATCAATATGCAAAACTTGAGAATTTGAACAGGAAGAACAATAGTTTAGGCAGATGGGCATTGAGAGTTATTGCTTGTTGATTCAATTGCACTGTGCAGAAAAGAATTATTGGTATCTAAGGGAGGGGCGACCTTCTCGGGTTCATTGAACCTGGACGTGTTTTGGTACAATAATAAAATCTGACGTGTCGCATGACCAATTAAGTGAATCAGCAGGTAGCTCATCCTCAAATTCGAGTTAGTTAGAATTGATCCAGACGAAGGTGCAAGACTGCTCCATGTAATAAAAAAAAATTTCAACGGAGGTTGCCCGAGTCTTGGCTTCTTCCAGTCATGCTACAATAACATTTTTGTTGAAATCCAGTTTGACATACTTATACTTGTGAGCATATAGCTTTTTACACATTAATTTTAAAAATATTTTAAGCGATCAATGACATATTTTAACACACGAGATGTCAAGAAAGTTGTCAATCATGAATATATAACTAGTTTATTTCAGCTCCGCCTGCTTTTGTCATGTACCAATACGAACAAAAACATCGGTCGTGCTACTTGTACAAAGTAGCTTAACAAAATCTCCTTCAAAGTGACGTGGCAATTTTTAAAAAAAAATTGAATTAGAAAACCCAACAGCTCTCTCTCTCTCTCCCCCCATTTTCCCGTTCTCTTCTCTCCCCCCAAATCAATTGAGAACTCCTCCCAAATCCAGAACCTCTGGCGGCATCCCCTCCTCCAACAGCCGGCCAACTTGAGTGGTGTGGTGTGGTGTGGCCCAGATCCACTTCGTTTCCACAACTGACGTCGTATCAGAGACGGTCTTCTACCACCAAAACATCAATCGACAAATCTGAGCTCTGAATGTTCAACATGCTTTGAAAAGAACGTATTTAATAGTGAAAATCATTTTGTTTCATCAATTTATTTATGTAACTTGTGAGCATATAGCTTTTTACAAATTAATTTTAAAAATATTTTAGGCGATCAATGACATATTTTAACACACGAGATGTCAAGAAAGTTGTCAATTATGAATATACAACTAGTTTATTTCAGCTCCGCCTGCTTTTGTCATGTATCAATACGAACAAAAACATCGGTCGTGCTACTTGTACAAAGTAGCTTAACAAAATCTACTTACAAAGTGACGTGACAATTTAAAAAAAAAAAATTTGAATTAGAAAACTCAACAGCTCTCTCTCTCTCCCCCCCATTTTCCCGTTCTCTTCTCTCCCCCCAAATCAATTGAGAACTCCCCCCAAATCCAAAAACCTCCGGCTTCCGGTCAAATCCAGAACCTTTGGCGGCATCCCCTCCTCCAACAGGCGGCCAACTTGAGTGGTGTGGTGTGGCCCATATCCACTTCGTTTCCACAACTGACGTCGTATCAGAGACGGTCTTCTACCACCAAAACATCGATCGACAAATCTGAGCTCTGAATGTTCAACATGCTTTGAAAAGAACGTATTTAATAGTGAAAATCATTTTGTTTCATCAATTTATTTATGTACAAAGAACACAAAACCAAAAAACCCGTAAACACTACATTGAAAAGAACAGATTCAATAGTCAAAATCATTTTGTTTCATCAATTTATTTATGTGCCAAATAAAATAAGTGTCATAGACGGAATCTTTCATCCTTGAACTCTAAGAAATGCTGAAAATAGTTTTAACTTACAGCTTCATACCTTGTTTTGTAATGAAATGTGGCTGGAGTGGAGTAATATGGAAGAAAATGCCTTCACAGCCGTGACCGGAGATGGAGAAAGTGGTTGGAGTTATGGCTGGAAATGGTTATTCACTGATTTGGGGGAACGGGAAACAAAAATGGGAGAGAGGAAATGGGTATCAAATTTGGGAAAATGGTTCTTGCGCAAAACTTGGGGAATTTGGCGCCCTCGGCTGGAAATAAAATCAGAACCGTCCGTCCAAAATGATCTGGACCGTACACGTCACTTTATCATCCTTCTTTGTCAACCAACTTTGTACAAACAGCATTTTTACAAAAACATAGGGGAAAAGTCTAAGTGTACATAATTTGGCAAAATAATGATATCCATAATGTGATGTGGATAAGATATGACTGTTAATGTGAAAGTGTGAGATTTGAATTGAATGTCGGATCGAGTGCCACGTGTAATTATGAACACCATTATGTACATGTAGCACTTCCCAAACATAGGAGAGGGGGTCAGGGTGGAGAGAGAATGTTTACACATCACCTGTCAAAATTTCGTGTAAGATTTTTTTGAATCGGTGCGTCATATCGATTTTCTTTTTCTTTTTTATTTAATTTTCTTCAATTTATTTATCTTAATTTCGTTGTTATTGGCAATTGGCATGTTATAGTTCTTGTAATTGCAATTTTTATTTACGGGTTGTTTGAGCCACATTTTTCTAAAAATTCATTTTTACAAAATTCATTTCCAACCACATATTCTCCAATAAAATAATATTATACACAAATTCAAAATTTTTTCTTAATTTTTAACCACACATTCTCCATTAATCTATTATTCTAAAATATATTCTTTTCCCTAAAATGAGGCTCAAACAAATATTTAATTTCTATTAGTATTGCTTGCCACAAGTTTACTAATTTGACTGGATGTGTTGATTTTGGACATTCGTATTCGTAACATTGAAGTATTGTTATCTTATTCGATGTAGCTGAAGAAAGTAAGGCTGAGCATGGTCTAAATCGAATCGAATTCGAATTTTCAGGTATTTAGTAAATGGAACTATCAGGTCTAAATTTAATTATGGAACCGTTCGGATTCGATTCTATTCTATTCAGTTCGGTTCTTTTCTATTCGGTTCTCTCGAGTTTTATACAATAATTAATTTTTTTATATATTACAACAATGCTACATTAATTCGACTATGACTTGTTCAATCTTAACTCTTACAAAATAACGTAGTCAAATCTCGTGATATCTTTTTCACCTCTCTTCATTGAGTTCTTCATAAATTTGACTGTTAAAATCACAGGAAGAGGAAGATGGCTAGTTCACAATAATAGAACGGCAAGAATGATACTACGGTAGAATCAGAGATTTGCGTAAATTTTAAGTCAATTTGATTAAGTTATGTTTGGCTGGAAATAAAAAATAGTAAAATCATATTTTGAGTTTGGACTAAATTAATTAGTTAGCAAATTTATTTTTTTTAAAAAGAAAATAATTTGACTTATTTAAGATAAAAAATTAAAAAAATAGGGAGATTCAGTTCTTCGATTCTTGATCTAAAATCGAGAATCGAATAAAACTCGTCGGTTCTCAATTTAAATACCCGTTTGAGTATTTAATTTAAGAAGAATCGCTCAATTCAATTCGGGTCCAGTTTAGTCCAATTCGATTCAAGAGTTTTGTCCATCACTAGAAGAAAGCAAAATGCAAAGAACATAGTCACAATAAAGTCCAACAGCTAAGGCTCTATTTGAGCCCTTCTTTTGCGTGAAAAGGGGTTTTGTAATAATGATTTTTTTTAGAATATGTAATTAAAAGGTACAAAAAATTAGTAAAATTTAATTCCATTGTCATTAGCTCCTATTTGAGTTTGTTAAAAATCAGATTTTAGTAAATTTAGATACAAATTGCGAATCTCATAAAATGTATAGTTAAAATTAATTATTGATTTTGATTTAAATGAAACTCAAACATGCTCTTGATCTACACACAATTTAGTGTCCGTTTGATTGCAAGAGTGGAATTTGGGTGGAAAGAAAATGAATTTCAGGACATTGAATTGCCTAAAATTAATTTTCTAGAAATTGTCGATTAATTGTATTTGATTGGTATAATTTTTCACCTGAAATATGTTGAAATTTTGGATCTTTTGGTATTCGTTTGGTTTTATTTTTTATGAAAATTGTCCATTAAAAGGAATTTCTTTTTTTAACAATTATCCATAAAATTTGTTTTCATTGCCAAAAAAAAAAATAAATTTAAAAATCAAGGAAATGATAAGTGTGTGAGCCAAACCAAGAAAATGATTTCCATGACAAATTTTGATTATCAAACAAAACTTTTTGAGAAAGATGAAATTTTATTTCCAATTTTCATAGAAAATCCTCCAAATCAAACCGGGCCTTCGAGAAAATACAAGGCACAAAGAATAATGACTCGATGGGACAAATGATGAATTAACTTGAATTTAAAATATAATGATGGGACATTGCATATTCTAGTCACATTTTCAGTCACTCATGGAGAGACCTCTACTCTATTTCCAAGTACCTACACCAAATCTAATTGAAATATCTTAAGAAAACATTATTAATTATTCTGAGTCACATTGCATATTCTAGCACATTCGTTGACGGTTCCCATCTCCATTAACCCTTGTGGTGGGCTATTCTCAAGAAGCCTCCTACATATTGAAGAATATGTTGGGGATGTATAAATTTTGATAGTGAGTTTAAGGGAGGTTGATGAAATTTAAATTCAAACGTCATTTGTTTTTAAGTATGAGTCGAGTCACGTTCAAATCATTCTTATGTCGAATAAGTTCTCTACAATTGTGATATTTTCTGGACAATGGTCATGGAAGAGCAAATGTGAATGGGGAAGGTAAGGAGCTTGAGCAAGAGCGAAGATGAAGGAGTTGGGTTGCATAACCAAGGCAAGTGGAGGAGGAACTGCAGAATCTAGGAGAAACAAAGGGTGGCGATGAAAAATATTGCTGGAGTGGTGGTTGGTTCACCAATCGTCGATGGCAATTGGGGTTTGGAGTTGTGACAAAAATATATTAGTGAGACGTGATTGAGAAGCATTCATAATCCTCACTATTATTGCCTTATTATTCGGTTTGTAGTCTTCTTCCACTCTTCGGCGATATGTGGTGGTGCACGGTAGTGTGGATAAAAGGGATTGACGGGTTAGTATGAATAGTAGTACTATGTTCCTTTTGATGGAGATTAAAATTAATTTTTTAGTATATTTTGATTAAAAAAAGTGATGAAATATCTTATTGAAAAATTGTAAATTCCATGAAATATATTATTAAAATTAATTATTGAGTTTGATTTAGATTAAAATCTAAATTCTAATTCTTATCAAACAAGAGCTATATATCACCATTGTTGAGCATTGCTGATGATAAATAATATTACTCGAGTGAGCTGCGTTCATTTTTTTTTTCTGTGTATTTAACTTTAACGATGCAATCGTGTCTCTTTCACCTTGTTGAACATGCCTCTCAATAACACCATGGTACCAAGTCTATTAGTTTTCCACCGAACATCTGCATCAATCACGAGAGGAATCAAAAGTGGACACCTTTCTAATTTGCTAACCACAACTTTTTGGAGCACCAAATGTGAAGCTGCCATCAATTGAAAAGATTGGAATCTGAACTATGTCAGTTGTTTCATTTCATGGTGAAAAAAGAGAAAAAAGAAAAATTGGGCCGATTCTACCTTTCTCGACAGTTGCTGAAATTATGAGGAAATATATCAAATGTCATGGCCCATTCGATAACCACTTGTTTTTCATGAAAGTTGGAATTGAAATTTCGTTTCCTACTTTTGTCATGTTTGATGTCACTCTTTTTCTCTAGAATTGATTTTTCACCTTTACTAGTTTTCTTGGTTTTAGTTGAATTGAAATTTGGGTAATTGGGGCAAAACGTCCACACGTTTCGTCTCTTGGCGCAGAACGTCCCTACCTTTCACTTTTTTTTTGCGCAAAACGTCTTTTTTCCCAATTTTTTGACCATTTTACCCTTTATTAAAATAAAACAAAAAGAAAAGAAAAGAAAAATACAAAATAAATTAATTTATCAAGAGCAGCTGACCCACTAATGGGTCAGACCCAATTACGTCCAGAACATGTTCAATTTTTGTTTGAATTGTTCGACTGTGTGAACTCGCGGGTTGCCTACTTTGTAATTTTTAAATTTGATTTTCGGCCAAATCTGTCGGAGTTGGGACTGGTGGTTGGATGGGTTGTGAAGAGGGCAATGAGGACTTCAAGGTGGTATGTTGGTCCGGCGGCCAAGATGATCGAAAGTTGAGGAATTTGCCTTCAAAGGTGGTGGCTTAAGGGGTGATGATTTTTTCATGTTTGTGACTGATTTGCACATTTTTAAAAGTTTGGACCCATAAATACAATTTATTATGTATTTTTCTTTTTTTTTTTTTTGTTTTATTTTAATAGAAGGGTAAAATGATCAAAAAATGGGGAAAATGACGTTTTGCGCCAAAAATGTGAAATGTAGGGACGTTTTGCGCCAATTACCCATTGAAATTTCATTTTTTTTTTCTTGTCAATAGAAA